TCAAAGCCTCTCTTACTAGTTTAAGAATAGTGAATATATGCATTTATCCAGTTAGAAATCTTCAAGGACCAAATTATAGCTGTTATATCATAGTTTAGAAAAGAAAGTGACACAGGGCGAACTTTATAACATTGATCATGATGGTAAGAATCCAGGTGACCCAATTGTTGAAAACCTCGGCGGCCTCGGTGGCATTCGAAGCTACCAATGCCTTGACGTCGTCTGATGGATTCTGGATTGATTGCTTAGAAAATCTTGCCCAGACAGTCATCTTCCTTATCAGAATTGATGCATTTCATACGTCAAAGTAGACGGGGCGGATATATTCGACCCAGTTGTGATTAAACCAACGGCTCCCGGTGGGGCCTCGATAGCTCAGTTGGCTAGCGCGTTGGCCGTACTAAAGCCTTCTCCTTGCTGGCGTGGGTTCGAACCCAATTGAGGCCGCCGAGGGTTATACGATTGGGTTAATTAAATTATTGTCAAATCCCTCCTACTAATGGCAGGAATCATTTATCAGTCAGGACAGAGGACTAGGAATGCCACGCCCCTGTTAGCTTTTAGAAAGGAGGTCTAATCCCGTGTCTTCACCCTAATCCTTAACGTAACTCTGACCATAACGTCGGCTCTAACCCTACTTTCCCTCGGATTTGGCACAAAGCCACTTATAACGGACCGTTCGCAGTTCCTTGTCACTTGCCAGGTGCGTCTAAACTATCCCTTTCCTTTTAAGTTCTGCTTCAAAATTCGCCTTCTATCTGCGCGAAAACTTGCCATTCATCCCCTCGCACACTCGCCTCTTATGTCCCTGCTACTGAATGACGGCATCTGTTGCCAGCGGCAACAGGCCCTCGAAAGATCGCGCTAACTGGGTCACGCAAATATCGATGACTTACACCGGTGTGTGACTGGGTAGTAGCGTATTAGCAGAAAATAATGTTTATCTCACTCACTGTCTTGACTACGGAAAATTAAAAGCACACGCTCTCTTTTTCCCTTTCTTCGCACATGGCCGTTTCCCGAGGGGTTAAGCCGACTACCCTGCAGCCGTGGTGCAACACTTCGGTCAGGTCGGACCGATCGCTGCTTGAAGCAACCGCTTTGCTATTCATTCAGACTGGACACCCTCCTCAAAACTACTTTCAGGATAACCGGTTCCTTATGCAGAATAGGCGCATCTGACAGGCGTCGCCAGCAGTACAGGTTTTGGAAGTTGAACCGGCAGATGCCACCTCGGAACCAGAAAAAGAAAAAAAACAAATGCTGGGCAGTAATTAGGGCAACAGTTGTTATGCCCTATCATCCGCGGCGTTCTTTAAACAACGCCCCCTCCCGGTCAGGACAAGTCAGGCCTTTTTCCTACGCCTGCCCTTAAATACAATTTTCCTGGCGGCCAAATTAACGGTCTTCGTGGTAAACAATCCTCACTTGATTGTTTTCAGTCCAAGGAGTGTGATAATAAAGGCCAGTAAAAGAGCAGGCGAGGAAGTGGCAGTCCACAGCAGATGCCATGCATAGTGGACTGCAGTGATTTTCCCGTAAGTCCGCCAAAACTACAAAAACCACAAAAAAGTTGATTAATTATGTATCGAGGTCGGGTTGCAAAGTCGTCAAAAGCCGTTCTCCTTGCGGTGGAGAGGAGAAAACTGAAGAGATGAGGAACATACAGGAGTTGCCTTGTTTCTCGCACTTTGATGACAGTTCCATTTCAAGTATTGTGCAAGCCAACAAGTTTACCTAATTTCGTCTGCAGAGATGGTCTGAGCGGTCAAACTTATTTCGCGGACTGGCGACTGTTGTGAGCAAACGACTTGTAGATCAAGATGTGAATGTATTTTTTGGATGGAAAGTTGTTAGGTCCCCCGTGTTATTAGCAGTTCGCACTATCCAGTGAAAATGGAGTCAGTAAATTTGCTCCAGCAATGAGAAGATTTGAACAGGTAGGCGTATAAAGTGGAAAGAACGGGAAAAAATGGTAAATTAGTAATTTTTCGAGATTGGTCCGCCAGTAAGACAAGATGACTACATGCAAAAGCAGCCATTTCACTTTGGCTCGATTCCTCGGCTGACCAAATTTTGTGCGATCACGCGTCCCCTGCATCACGTGATGTAGACGACCTTAGGGGAGTGCGCCTTCAAGATTCGCAGGCGGCATCCGGATCGATAAACCTCATCTGATTGCATTGCCTTAAGCAACTTGCCATGCTTCCTTTCTGTACAGGGTCTTTTCCAGACACATTCGCAATGCGCCTAGAGACCTTTGGAACAGGCTGTTCCTTCTCGTTTCGACTGATTCGGGCTGGATAGTGCGGATGCAGGCAGGGTGCTTTGCTTTGCACAAGAAATTGCCCCCCTCCAAATAATTACAGGGCACTGTTTGGAGTACACCTGCGGTAAGTGTGATTTGTATGGCCGCCTAAACAGGCATGCGACTAGGAACCGTCCAAGACCATTCGAAGC